TCTTAAACAAAAAAAATGGAGATAAATTAATTATTTTTTATTTTAAAAATAAAAATTGAAAGCATACACCAAATAACTCGAACATCCTTGTATGTATAGAAACAACAATATTCCATCTTCATAATATGTAATTTGTTACTTGTTATTGCCATTTTTCTGCTAAATGACAGCTATAGGTCTACTGAGAAGAAGAAATATAATATTAAATGAATTAGACAGGGAAAAACAACAAGTTTAATAATAATAAGAGACGAATAAATAATATAAATGATTTATCTGTCTAGCCATATTGTGAATATGTTCCGCTAATTTTCAATTAGCATAATCATAATATATCAGAAATGTTATTGCACTACTAAATTTTAAATTAGATTTAGGCATTATAAAATTTTTCGTACTAGAGAAAAAAAAATCACTTTTCTTTTATTGTTTTTAATTGCATAATTTTAATGACTTCATAGCAAATGTATAAAATGTGTAAACGAACTAACTACATTTAAAACATTATAATTATGAAAATTAATTAATTTTAACACGAGATGACGGCTTAACTGCCTATCTCTTGTCAAATTACTTAGTATCTTAATCATTAATTAGCCATATTATAGCCCGATAAGAAGCTTGAACGAACTTTGGATTGTAGACATTTTGAATGTTTAAAAGTTGTTCTAATATATAATAAATAATATTGCATGAAAATAAAGAGTATTTTGATATAATCCTGGTGTTTATAATTTGCCCACTTATACTAGTAATAGTAATTTACTTGCATTCTTAAATTATTAACATAAATACTTAGAAAAAAAAAGCCGTAGAATGAGAGGTTATTCGTAAATGAAGTTAACATTTTTCATTTAAAAAGTATTAAAAATGAAATTCAAAAATAAAAAATAGGGTGAAAATCTTTCAAAAATCACGGTAAGCCGAAAAATTGAATTGGTTATAAATATCGAAAACGCTTACAAAAATAAACGATAGTTATTGTAACAATATACTTAAATAATTATTAAAAACTAAGCAATAAAAATTTCAAAAAGTGCGCTAGTCTTTACACAGAATATAATTGGAATGTATCTATTAGTTACGTGTCGCCATCTGTTAGCTAGTAATTAGACTAATCTTAAGTAAAAATTGTTATTTACCATCTATAATTGTGTTCTCTATTTTTTAATACGTTTATTTAATTTATTCCCATGTAAGATCGAAAGCTTTATATTTCAGCAAAGAAGGACTTAGAGAAAGTTTCTATTTTAATATATAGACTAATACTCAAACGACTTTCAATAATTTTAAATGGAATTTAAGATACAAAAACGTTTGAAATTAGTTAAAATCTTGTATATAAATAATGCTTAAATTTAAAAATAAGCTTTCCTGTTATTAACTGTATCACGATAACTTTTGAGCTAAGTTACTTTTTGTTTTAATCGAGTATATTTTATTTCCTCGTCTAAAATTATAATTTATTAAACATTTTCATTAAAGTCCTACTGTAGTATGCGTGACATTGCGTTACCTCGAAGGTTATTTATATCAATTAAACTTAATTAAATTAATATTGATTAGTAATTATACTTTTATAGCTAAGTATTACAAACGTAGCATCAAGGTAGGGTGGCCGAGCGGTCTAAGGCGCTGGTTTAAGGCACCAGTCTCTTCGGAGGCGTGGGTTCGAATCCCACCCCTGCCAATTATTTTTCTTTCCCTTTCTTTTGGTGCCTTATTGTTAAATTAAAATTTCATCGTACCAAAAGTTTAAAGCAGAAAACTTATATTTTTATTACATACGAATCTTTTGCTGTACGTAACTCCATCTGTCGACTCACCGCGAAGTTATAACCATACATTTTTACCAGAAAATTATTTGTTTTCATTATAATCTTTAAAAACATGGTATAAAATAATTATTTACGTTTGTATTATTAATACGATTTCTTGAATTTTTATTCAAATTAAACTTGGCATTTAACACAGAAAAATTAATGTTGTATTTTAATTATCCTGCTGTTTCACTAATTTAAGTTCTTCGGAGCCTACTTCTTTTAGAATTTTTGGATGTTGATCCGGTTATTCCCGAGTTCTCAATTTCTCTTATTTTCAATTCAGTTTGTAAAATTTCGATATTCTTTTAAGTTCTTTCTACCTAAGAACACTAAAACGCCTTTTTTTGTTACATATACATTGTAGATTCGGCCTAATGGAGCAGTCTGGTGGTCTGGTGATGAGAGTCAGAATCCAGCATAGCCGAGAAATCTATCATGAAAATTTTTGAGGCGAACCGAAACTGTGAGAACGCTGATTTTCCAGAGAAGTAGGTGGTGCCTTTACTGAGAATAAGCCATTGGAAGCGATCAAGGCAAAACTTTTCTAATTATACAAAAATTCTTTGTATGAATTGAATAGCTTGACTCAAATTATAAATTATGTAAACAGGAGTTTTACCCGCAAAACGGGTAAAACTCCTGTTTACATGAAAAATTTCCAGTATTCTATTTGAATTGTAATTCGAACTCAAACTCTATTGATATTTGATCATCTAAAGTTTCTACACTAAACGCGTTTTAAAAAATTTTAAATCATATCAGAAGATTCAGAGATTACTATTAGGATAAGTCGAATAACAAGCTTTCATCTGTGCCTAACGATAAAATCGAATCGAATTTTTGTTGTTACCGTATTTCCTCAATTAAATTAAATTAAATTAAAAATAAACCCCATAGATTTATTATTAAAACGTATGTATCCCCGGGGTTTTTGAAGCCGAGAATTTTTAACTTGCAACAGAAGACGACTAGATAAAAATTGAAATTAATCTTAATTACTTGTACATTTTCAAACTACTAAAATCATTTATTGATTGTATTCATGAGTTTCAACTACGTTTGAAATAATTAGTTTTCATAGTTAACTCGATTCAGCGTCTACCAATTTGGTTATTACTGTCATTCGTGTCTGTTTTCATCAAGATCTTGACTATCGTCTTCTGGTTCAAACTCATCGTATCTTTTTGAAAGAGACAGTGAGTTTGAACCAGGGTTTTGCTAATTATCCTTCGGATGATAAGCCGAAAGGATAATTATGAAGTTGATCGCAACTTTTCCAAATTATAAACATTCGACAATATTTAGAATTTCATTTTAAAAATTGTTTCCGTGAACCTTGAAATAGAAAGTGCTATCCGACTCTAGACAATTTGGAGAGGTAGTATTTTAAACTCTTTACCTGTCACTCTAAACCAGGGGACCAAACTTTTCACAGCAGGCCAGATAATTGAGAGAATGACGAGCGCGGGCAGTATAACCATTTTGTTTAGTACAGCACATTGAATACACAATAAATAAAGACAATCAGCATATTTATTTACCAACATAAAAACACAAACACGATTGCTGCAGCAAGCTCGCTATCGCTTCCCTTAGAAACTTCATTGCAGGTACTGTACAATACTTACACAAAAAGCGCTTTGATAACCAAAGTCGAAAAATGTTGCCGAATTTTTTATTTCACTGATTTATCTAAAAATTATATTACTGTCAGATGCAAAAATCAGATTGAACCAATTTTGGCACTTTTACTTGCATTTATTTTAATTTTTTATACATAGTAAGTTTATCTACAACCTATGGTATTTCCGTATAAATTATTATATTTTACTCGTTTGTATTATAAATTATTATAGCTCGTTTGTGGCATAGTACGGCAACGGGCTGGATCCGGCAGTAGCTTGGTGACCAGGGATTCTCAACTGGGGTCCACATGAATCCTAGGGGCCCATGTAACATTACTGGGGGTCCACAGAAAAAAAAATACCGAATTGGGGTTCACGGTGTATTTTAGTGGTCTATAGGGTAATTCTATTTCAGAACAATTGTTTTACTGAAAATTAAATTTATACAGTATATGCAGTATATTGTCAATTTATTTATTACTCATTTCTTGCATAAGGGTTAAAATATAAATTATTTAAAATATTGAATACGTAAACGACATATATATCTCATTGACAAAGGTCAAAGAGAGATTATATCAATAAAACCGGGGTCTGTTAGGAGAATCTTATACCATCAGCGTCATGTCACTTGACAGTGACATTTCTGAACGTTTTGTGTCAGTTTGTTCCAGATCTCAAAGATTAGGGAAAGATGCTATAAACTTTATAGCCTCTCTCCAGTATAAAGGTAATCAATTTATTTTAACCCTAACCTTCACTTCTTTGCAAAACTCCATCTTGACAATGTAAAAGGTATAAAACTGCTAGTTCATAAATATATTTTTCCAATTTGAAACAATGTAACAAAAAAAATAAGGCTTTTTTTTCTGTGCAATGTATGGGAGGTCCACAAAAAAAAGAAAAAAAAATTAAGAGGAAAAGAGGTCCATGGGTGAAAAAAGGTTGAGAACCCCTGCTCTAAACTATTAATACATTAGCAGAACTTCAACATGTTTTCTTTTCAACACGTGATTATTTTTAACACCACCTTTATTATCAGAATTTATTTAAATTCTGTGGTTTAATCAAAGAAATATGGTATATTATAATCCTTTAGTTTGAACTATTACTGTATACAGTATTAATAGTCTATTAGATTGTGTTAATACCACTAGTGTTGAATTATATTTATATAAATAAAATGAAAATTTTTGAGGCGAACCGAAACTGTGAGAACGCTGATTTTCCAGAGAAGTAGGTGGTGCCTTTACTGAGAATAAGCCATTGGAAGCGATCAANTTGATATGTACTACGCAATTTAATGTAAATTTTTTGCCGAATACAGTGTTAAATATACATGCGTACGTATTAGTCTGTAGTCTTTTTCTCTTAGTAATAATTTGGATTTTTGCAGTCAAATGTCGTCAAGTAAACTAGAACCCCCATTAGTTCGAATTATTTATTAATCTGAAAAACTCTACACATTAATTAGTTGAGATTACTAAAAGTTCGTGCAGTGAAGCATATACAATTTAATTAAAATTCTGCTGAAAGTTTAATTAATTTTCAGTCCGCTAGGTGGTATCGAGTCTCATGTTTATGTTTTTGAATGTGAGTTTGCGCCAGAAGGAAATAGAATTAAACGTTTCGTACTTTTGTTAAGTTTATAAGTCGGTTCGTCTTTGGTTTAATAATGTCAGATCTTGGCGACGAACATCGTTTGTTTCTCCAAGGCTTCATGTGGAAAAAAATTTGTAGAGCAGGAGAAGTTATGAAATTATATAAAGATTGTCTGAGAAGGGCACAAAGTACGACTTTTAAATTTACTATATAAATATGTATACAAGTATATTTATCATGTATTTTCTATGTCTTATTTGTAATAATAATAATGTTCATATGCATGTACACATACCAACAAACGCATAAAGTTTTTGTTGACGCTAGCTTACATGCTTACATACAAACGGTAGAGATTACTTTTAGATGATTTTGTGTTTAAGTTATAATTAGGCTCAAAGATCGAAAACGTCCAATGAGCGGAAAAACAATCGGAAAACACGTTGTGGCTTTATAGAAATAGCCACAAGAAATTTTGTGTCCTGACTGCATCATGCTCATTAGATGCTGTAAAGAGTCAAAAAGCCTGGCTTTATGAAGACCTATGATGCATTCTGAAAAAAGCCAAAATGCAATATTTGTGCCAGGACTGTTAAAAAAAATAATTGCAACACATTTCGGCATTGTCAACAATATTGGAACACATTCTGTACATTTCTGAATTCAATACTTACGTCACTGGTGAGTTCTCTATCGAGTCCCTCCGTTGAACAATTTGACGTCCCATTTTGTAGAAAAAAAGGAACATTTGTGTTGAGAGGTGCTTTTTGCGATGGCCGACTTAAATAAGAAGGCGATGGTTGTGGCTGTTTTGCTAATTAACTAAAGTAACTCACTTAAACATTATCTGAATAAACCTTTTTTTTAAATGAACCTATGTCATTTTCTTCTATACTGGGTCTTTCTTCAATAATTTGAATTTCTTGAATATTTATATCATTAGGAGGATGTAAAGAGGGCCAAATATCAGTCCTAATCAAATTTTGGGTGAATTCATGGAGGTTGTTTGTCTCTGAAAAAAGCTTAATTAATATTTCAGTATTGACCAAATCATCCATCATAATCGTGTAATCGCATGTTTTACCATATGCAGACCATTCACTAATCTGTCTGCTATTACGGTGTCCATAGCAATAGTGAATTGATAGTTTCTATAAGCAAAATTTACATTTCATGGAAGTCATTATGTTAGTTTGTTGAATACTCATGCTCTTTCAAGTCATTGAGCTCAATGGTGATGTCATGGGTTTCAACAGACAACTCGACAGTCCATTTAGAAACATCGTTTTCTCACCATTGAGCCAATCATTGAATATAGAAATGTACCCATTGTTGCAGAAACAATGCAAGACATTTTTATCACACACATACAACAACCTGCCATCTTATCCTCGTTAAGGAAGAAGAGCAGATCCTATTCAAAGTCATCTCAGTCAGTCATCAGTGTTGATCTGATGTCACATCAGTAAACACATCTGGGCTTTATTAGTTTGGCACCAAAGAAGTGGGTATGTGATTCCAATCAGTTATTACTACTGACAACCTCATTGACATACATCATATACCTCAAACTCACTATCTCTGGCCAGTCTCGAATATAGTCTGGAAATAAGCAGAAGTTTGTAATTGCATGTTTACAATTGTGAAAGTACTGCATCAATAGAAAGTGCAAATGTTGTTTGAAGGATATCAACTGTAATTCTAAGTGTTGTAACCATTCCTGCAAAAATAATAGAGCTTGGCTGCTGTTCTTGATTATTTTGCATATTTAGTCATAATTTCGAACTATTACAGTATAAACAGGAAATGACCATAATGCATCACGGTATTTTGATAATGCTGGAACATGTCATTTTTTAAACAGTCCTGACACAAATTTTACAAACTGATATTTTTTATAATGACAGAAGGCATTGTGGCTCTTTACAAGCAACCAGGACATGAAATTTCTCATTGTGGCTGTTTCTGTAAAGCCATAATGTATCTGATTATTTTTTTTTTCATTGAACATTCCTGGTCTTTTAGCTTAACATATATGTGTTAAGCAATTTCAATGTTTATTTTACATGCATATGGAATATTTCCTCTTTGGTAATTATGTCTTTTATACATTTTCTGTTATTCCAATCATATTAAACTCGTTAAATATTAAATTCTGTAGAATATATTCATAATTAAATTTTTATTATTAAATATCATAAAACTCTTAAATTTATAGTTAATTAATATTTTAATTTCTTGTATTTTTTTTTAATTTTAAATAGAAAGTTGTGATGCATCAGAATTAAGTCAGTTTGTCAACAAAATCAACTCCCATATAAGACCCATGCATATGGAAATTCGTAAAGGAATAGAAGAAGATACTGGTATAAATTGTTATGCATTAGTAAATATGACAAACAGTTCTCTTTCATGTTTAAGTTCTGATTATTCTATCAGTGAATTAGAATTTTTCAAAAAGATAGTAAGATATTGTTTTTGTTTAATCTATATAAAATTTTAATTTTGTAATAATTCTACATGAATTAATTTCATGAAATTTTCTTTAGGTTGAAATGATTGTTTTATCAGATGATGGGGTTGCTTCATCAGTATCATTGTTAAATTTAACTGACGACATGGTTGATCATAAGATTTCCAAAAAAGAAGCAGAAGATTTAATTGAAAGATTAGTTGCTGATAAATTTCTTTCTAAGGTATTATTTATTTAAACTACTAATTTAGATTTAGAAATAAAACAGCATTTTTTATTTATTTAAAATATTTTTAATAACTTCATTATAAGTTAGCTGAAATTAATTATTTTAACTTACAAAATAAAATAAAAATTGTTGACATAATAATTTTAATTTACATATTTTAAAATTTTAAATTATTCAGAAGCTTGAGTTAAGGTGAAAGTGATTTGCATTTGCATATTTGTACTTTTTCTAATAACATTAATCTGTATCCATACTAACAACATATAGACAATTTAAAATCAATGTACGCAAACTTGCTCTATTTGCATCTGCCATTTTAAATTTATACAGTGACCTCTATAGTTCATTGAAATTTCCAATAAAATTTAGTAATAGCAACAGAATATTGCATGTAAAATAATAAATTAATGAATAAAAATATAAATTATAGTAATCCTACTTTATCTTATGATATGTAAAAAGGTTGTCAAATCCAATTCAAGTCCTAACAGTAGTTAATTGAACTATCATTAAGACTTGAATTTAATTTGACAACCTTTTTAACATCTCATAAGGCATAAAAAATATAATTAAATTGACTTGCATTAAATTTTTGAAATTTTATAAATAAAATGGGTGGTAAACCTATGACACGTGTACTCAAAGTGGCACATAAGGAGAAATCATCTGGCATGTAACATTTCATATGATTTCTGTTTATAACCTCTTTTTTCAATCATCCTTTCAGTTTATCACCTGATCATTCATTTATTTCAATCAGCATTTTTACATTTATTTTAATTAAAGCATATTTGTTTAATTTCTTTAAATATTGTTATTCAAAGTCTAAAACTTTGGCATGCATAAACATCTTCAGAGTTAAGTATTCTTACTAAATGGCATAAGGTTTGCCAAAACTGAAATAGAATAATAAGCATAAACACTAAAAATAAATGTAGTAAGTAACAGACAAAATTACTTAATATTTTTACATAAGAAATGAAGCTGAATTCAGTTAAATGATAAAGATTAATATCATTTATTGGAAAGTTCAAGTTAAATTATCGTAGAAATGTTATTCAATAAATATGTTGTAGAATATTGCTATGTTTCAAAGCATTACAATCTTATATGCAATAATATGCTACTGTGACAAATAATAGAGAATGAGTTATTGGGCTGCAATTTGAAAAAATTATATACTTATAAATTTCTGCTGTCATCCGTCCATCTGTCTTTCCTTAATCTTGAGAACGGAGTTAGACAGATGAAAGATGACACCAGATATGGAAATCTTAGCCTTGATTAACTATATACCAACTTTTGATGCAAACTGGAAGTCATGTTATTTCAATTCAAAAATTTTCTCCTGTTAGATTCTAACAGGAGAAAATTTTTGAATTGAAATAATATGCTGGTCATCTATCTAACAGTTAGATAGATGACCAGCATGACTCTATTGTTAAAGGAAAATTATATTGTACAGGACCAAACACTACTAATTTGAGGTGAAGAGAACATATATTTTAATTTAAATAAATTAAAAATATGATTAAAAATTGCGGCTTTGGTGTTGTGATATTGTCAAAATAAATAATTGCTTGTTAAATTTTGTTTATTTTTAGAATTTTTTCAGTATATATTTTATTTTTGAACTGAATTGCTTACATTTAAATTATGGATAGCTAACAAAAGTTTTTAATTTAAATAATACAACTTTTAAATTATTTCCATTATCAGATTTATGATGAATCTTCATTCAAGAGAATTATTATAAAATCATTATAACAAAATATGTTTGATTTTATTGGAAAATATTATAAAATACATATTGGTGATACATAAGAATATTTTATGCACAGTTTTATTAGTTTTTAAAATAAAAAAAAATTCATGAAACATTTTCATTGTATAGAAAATCAGTTATCCTTATTAATAAAGATATAAGAATATTTTTATTTGAATATTCTTGTCCAATATATATACTGGACTGGGGTAATTAAATTTATATATCTACTAACTAGTTTGACTAGATGTGAAATTATTTTTAAATTCCTTTGAAATACATTTACTGATTATTAATACCTGTTAGAAGCTATAACTTCACCAATGATAAATTTTATAAAAATGCATTATTTTATAATTTCTCTAATATTTTAATATATTTTTCTTAATTAATTAAGAATATTTTCATCAGATTTAATAACTAAATCAAATTATAATGTTTAACATATTAAATAAAAATTTTTTAAAAATGATTTTCTTTATGATGTAGAATGATGGTATTATATCATTAAGTGTGAGAAGTATGATTGAACTGGATCCATATTTTAGAGAAGTTTATGAAGAGAATATTAAAATTTGCTTGATGTGTAAACAAATTGTTTTACAGGTAACAGTAATACATCAACTTTTTAAAGACTATTATTTTTTTTCTGTTGCTTATAGTAATATACATATTTTTCTAAAGGGTCAAATTTGTGCAGACTGTGATGCAAAACTTCATTCACATTGTGCTACAAGGTATTTCAGGAATAAAAATGAATTGAAATGTTTAAATTGTGGTTCTCAGTGGCCTTACAACATATCACAAGGTAAGCAAACAATTATAGTTTTTAATATTTTCAAATATTATGAAATAAAGAACACATCAGATTTAAAATAATTAACTATCTTATGGTGTTAAAAACTATTAAAGTCATTCAAAAGAAAAGTTATAAAATTTTAATGTATAATTAAAAGTATTTTTGATAATATTTACAATAGTGTTGTCAGGCATTTAGAACCAATAATGAAAATCTTAATGTCTTTTGTATTTATCAATACAATTTAATGTTCTTACTCTATTTTTGGTTCTCTCTGACTGCAGATAATGTAAATGTTATCAAAGTACTCATTTTACAGGATTTATGTTGTTTTTGAGTGTATTTCAGTTGTTCTCAACCAGAGTCATAGCACATTAATGTGCTGTAAATCCATTCTAAATGTGTCATGAAATAAAATTGAAGTGACAAATTATAAAATTTGTAAAAAAATTAACAAAATGTGCTTTTATGTGTTATCAACCATATGTCAAAAATTTATACTAGTAAACTATCATACAAAAAGTATTAGAGAAAATTTTGTGATCATCAGTTCAATAATATTTNATTATTCTATCAGTGAATTAGAATTTTTCAAAAAGATAGTAAGATATTGTTTTTGTTTAATCTATATAAAATTTTAATTTTGTAATAATTCTACATGAATTAATTTCATGAAATTTTCTTTAGGTTGAAATGATTGTTTTATCAGATGATGGGGTTGCTTCATCAGTATCATTGTTAAATTTAACTGACGACATGGTTGATCATAAGATTTCCAAAAAAGAAGCAGAAGATTTAATTGAAAGATTAGTTGCTGATAAATTTCTTTCTAAGGTATTATTTATTTAAACTACTAATTTAGATTTAGAAATAAAACAGCATTTTTTATTTATTTAAAATATTTTTAATAACTTCATTATAAGTTAGCTGAAATTAATTATTTTAACTTACAAAATAAAATAAAAATTGTTGACATAATAATTTTAATTTACATATTTTAAAATTTTAAATTATTCAGAAGCTTGAGTTAAGGTGAAAGTGATTTGCATTTGCATATTTGTACTTTTTCTAATAACATTAATCTGTATCCATACTAACAACATATAGACAATTTAAAATCAATGTACGCAAACTTGCTCTATTTGCATCTGCCATTTTAAATTTATACAGTGACCTCTATAGTTCATTGAAATTTCCAATAAAATTTAGTAATAGCAACAGAATATTGCATGTAAAATAATAAATTAATGAATAAAAATATAAATTATAGTAATCCTACTTTATCTTATGATATGTAAAAAGGTTGTCAAATCCAATTCAAGTCCTAACAGTAGTTAATTGAACTATCATTAAGACTTGAATTTAATTTGACAACCTTTTTAACATCTCATAAGGCATAAAAAATATAATTAAATTGACTTGCATTAAATTTTTGAAATTTTATAAATAAAATGGGTGGTAAACCTATGACACGTGTACTCAAAGTGGCACATAAGGAGAAATCATCTGGCATGTAACATTTCATATGATTTCTGTTTATAACCTCTTTTTTCAATCATCCTTTCAGTTTATCACCTGATCATTCATTTATTTCAATCAGCATTTTTACATTTATTTTAATTAAAGCATATTTGTTTAATTTCTTTAAATATTGTTATTCAAAGTCTAAAACTTTGGCATGCATAAACATCTTCAGAGTTAAGTATTCTTACTAAATGGCATAAGGTTTGCCAAAACTGAAATAGAATAATAAGCATAAACACTAAAAATAAATGTAGTAAGTAACAGACAAAATTACTTAATATTTTTACATAAGAAATGAAGCTGAATTCAGTTAAATGATAAAGATTAATATCATTTATTGGAAAGTTCAAGTTAAATTATCGTAGAAATGTTATTCAATAAATATGTTGTAGAATATTGCTATGTTTCAAAGCATTACAATCTTATATGCAATAATATGCTACTGTGACAAATAATAGAGAATGAGTTATTGGGCTGCAATTTGAAAAAATTATATACTTATAAATTTCTGCTGTCATCCGTCCATCTGTCTTTCCTTAATCTTGAGAACGGAGTTAGACAGATGAAAGATGACACCAGATATGGAAATCTTAGCCTTGATTAACTATATACCAACTTTTGATGCAAACTGGAAGTCATGTTATTTCAATTCAAAAATTTTCTCCTGTTAGATTCTAACAGGAGAAAATTTTTGAATTGAAATAATATGCTGGTCATCTATCTAACAGTTAGATAGATGACCAGCATGACTCTATTGTTAAAGGAAAATTATATTGTACAGGACCAAACACTACTAATTTGAGGTGAAGAGAACATATATTTTAATTTAAATAAATTAAAAATATGATTAAAAATTGCGGCTTTGGTGTTGTGATATTGTCAAAATAAATAATTGCTTGTTAAATTTTGTTTATTTTTAGAATTTTTTCAGTATATATTTTATTTTTGAACTGAATTGCTTACATTTAAATTATGGATAGCTAACAAAAGTTTTTAATTTAAATAATACAACTTTTAAATTATTTCCATTATCAGATTTATGATGAATCTTCATTCAAGAGAATTATTATAAAATCATTATAACAAAATATGTTTGATTTTATTGGAAAATATTATAAAATACATATTGGTGATACATAAGAATATTTTATGCACAGTTTTATTAGTTTTTAAAATAAAAAAAAATTCATGAAACATTTTCATTGTATAGAAAATCAGTTATCCTTATTAATAAAGATATAAGAATATTTTTATTTGAATATTCTTGTCCAATATATATACTGGACTGGGGTAATTAAATTTATATATCTACTAACTAGTTTGACTAGATGTGAAATTATTTTTAAATTCCTTTGAAATACATTTACTGATTATTAATACCTGTTAGAAGCTATAACTTCACCAATGATAAATTTTATAAAAATGCATTATTTTATAATTTCTCTAATATTTTAATATATTTTTCTTAATTAATTAAGAATATTTTCATCAGATTTAATAACTAAATCAAATTATAATGTTTAACATATTAAATAAAAATTTTTTAAAAATGATTTTCTTTATGATGTAGAATGATGGTATTATATCATTAAGTGTGAGAAGTATGATTGAACTGGATCCATATTTTAGAGAAGTTTATGAAGAGAATATTAAAATTTGCTTGATGTGTAAACAAATTGTTTTACAGGTAACAGTAATACATCAACTTTTTAAAGACTATTATTTTTTTTCTGTTGCTTATAGTAATATACATATTTTTCTAAAGGGTCAAATTTGTGCAGACTGTGATGCAAAACTTCATTCACATTGTGCTACAAGGTATTTCAGGAATAAAAATGAATTGAAATGTTTAAATTGTGGTTCTCAGTGGCCTTACAACATATCACAAGGTAAGCAAACAATTATAGTTTTTAATATTTTCAAATATTATGAAATAAAGAACACATCAGATTTAAAATAATTAACTATCTTATGGTGTTAAAAACTATTAAAGTCATTCAAAAGAAAAGTTATAAAATTTTAATGTATAATTAAAAGTATTTTTGATAATATTTACAATAGTGTTGTCAGGCATTTAGAACCAATAATGAAAATCTTAATGTCTTTTGTATTTATCAATACAATTTAATGTTCTTACTCTATTTTTGGTTCTCTCTGACTGCAGATAATGTAAATGTTATCAAAGTACTCATTTTACAGGATTTATGTTGTTTTTGAGTGTATTTCAGTTGTTCTCAACCAGAGTCATAGCACATTAATGTGCTGTAAATCCATTCTAAATGTGTCATGAAATAAAATTGAAGTGACAAATTATAAAATTTGTAAAAAAATTAACAAAATGTGCTTTTATGTGTTATCAACCATATGTCAAAAATTTATACTAGTAAACTATCATACAAAAAGTATTAGAGAAAATTTTGTGATCATCAGTTCAATAATATTTAATAATAAAATATGATTTTGGCATTGACTTTGGCATGATTGTTTAAGCATGCTATAAGTCCGAAAAGGTTGGAAACCAATGGTGTATTTAATAATCTTTAATGCCTAAGATGTTAAGTGCTTTAACAAAATTTTATAAAATAGTAATAGCTTCAATAAAATTAATATTTATTAAAATTGAAATTTTTATTTTTATTTCAATGTTTATTATTTAGATCAGTGTTTCTCAATGGGGGCAATATCACCCCATGTGGACATTTTTTCATATTGGGGGCAATTAGTAACAATTTATATTTTGGGAGGATGAAAAACAATTTTCTGGGCGATATAGTAAAACATTATATTAAGAATAATTAGATATTTTATTCGTTATATTGTACAATAATTAAACAGATAACATTAGACTAGTGACTAGTCTATTCAATGTAATATGAATTGTCATTAGCCTCGGCCTTTGGCATCAGAATTTTGAAGCTTGCAGTGGGGATTCACAGTGAATAATGCTTAATTTTAATTTTGTTAATGATATCAAAATATAATACGTATTCTGAGTAAATAAATGTTTATTTGATAATTATATATACTTTGTAAAAAATTAAACTAATAAACCCAACAAAATTGTTTTTGAAGTGAAGGGGATTATACTACATAATGGTTTTATTGAAGAGGCAATGATTTGTTAGAGGTTGAGAAACACTAATTTAAATAAATACAGTATATATATTGTAAAATGTTGATGAAATATTAAATGTATGGTATAAAAATTATAAAGTATTAAAAACTTGTAATATTGATATAATTATGATATATAAAAATAATTGAATCTGTGAATTCAAAAATGGCCAAAGTCTATATTTTATTAATATCCACTTTATGAATGAAATTGGCAAACTAGAAACTGTAAGGCAAACTGCATCATATAAGTCAAATTTCCCTTTAGTGTGCTGTAATGGAGTGTGTTGAAATTTTGAGACAAATCAATAAGGTCTAATGTTCAGGACTTTAGCCCTTATTGAATTGCCTATGTGGCCATTCACTATCATCTGGCAGTAACAGAATCATTTAAACAAATCTATCATAAAAATTAAATCATTCTGTAGTATAATAAAATTTTTCAAGCAACATCTAATTACTGTAACTTTATATCAGAGACCTGAACTTTAATATTAAACTATATTTTAATATAGTTGAACTGTGACATATGCTGATTTAAAAGATTTGACCACCTCTCTATGTTTTCCAAGAAAAGTTCTTTAGTAAGAGGGGAAAACTTTCAGGTTTCTAAGTGTAAAATACTACAGTATAATGAGCACCATAAATATGGGATCAAGTCAGCAAGTTTGTGGATGGAGAAACAAGCTTTGGCATATTGTAGAACATAGTGACACCAAACTTGGCTGCTTCTAGATTGTATATGCTCAAATACTTGTTAAAGTCACTAAAGTTCAGGGTATGAGAAATCTCAAAATATTTATCTGAAAGTGCACAAGAGTATATAAGTATACCATATATTGAATGATGAGACTGCAGTCATGACTAATCAGATGGAAAATAAGAAAAAAATTATGTGATTCCTAGCTTTCCTCACAAACATTGTATGCAAAATTTTGTCTTGTATTCAGAATTTGTTAGAAAATTGTCTGCACATTAAATGAAATAGAAATACACTGGAGATTTAATAAAAACAATTTTAATTTTCAAAATATAATCTGTCTGTTACTGGTTCAATTCAAAACAAGCCAAAGTCCAAACAACCTTTGCTCTCCATTGTTTTGAAAACTATGCCAAAATTGCAGTTGCCACTTCCCATAAATGAACAAACTTAGTATAATCTATCATTTAGTCCAGTTACAGAGGCCATAATTATCTGTGCTCATACCCAAAATATTTATATTTTTAAAATTTAATGTGAATATATTTAAGACAGTTTTCCATGAAAGTTAATAATTTTGCCAAAATTCATTTTTGAACATTAGTAATTTTTTTCTGTTATTTTTTTTTTAAATTTTTAACACTTCAAAAATTATCAAATTTTATGGGATTTATAGAAGAAATACTAGTTCAGTTTCAATAGTAAGCAATTCAGATAATAACTTTATATAAATAAATTTACAAAATGTTTATTTAATATGTAAATAAAAAATACTCAAAGAGAAAATGAGAAAAAATTTAGTTTTTTACTTTTTACTTTAGATTTGATTTTGAGTTGCACATCAAAATATTGTTTACTTCTTAGATGAAAGTTGTATTTGACAAAGATGTGTGATGCTAAGACAATACTAATTATACAGTAAATACTTTTTTAAAAAAGATGACTGCTTGAAAAGTATTTGAATTTCATTTGTCAAATTATTTTTTGGCTATTTCAATTTTATCTAATGTGCAAATAATATGCAGAAAACAAAAGAATATAAACATATTTCATATAAATTATATGAGAATATATTTTTGAAATGTTATTGTGAATTAATTATAACTTTTTTTTTCTAGGAGCATCTACATCAACACAGAAATAATTTTATTTTTGTAACGATGTTTAATTGATAGTGACTGAAAAACATAATATAACAACAATTTCTTAATCTGCATTGTTGTATTATATAATTTTTATTCTGTAAAAATATTATTTGTTACATGCAATAAAATATAAATTTTGTACAGGTTTAAGTAAATGATTAAAAGCATTATTTATAAAATGTGTTTTTAAATTCAAAATACATTTAAATTTTATGATTAAATAATAAATTATTTATTTAATTTGTAATATTAAATTAAATTCTATGTCATGAAAGAATATTAATTAATAGAAACTTAGCCAATTTTCAGTGTATAAAAATTTAGTTTATTTAACTCAGGCCTGGCCAACCCAAATTGTTTTGCGGGCCACTTTGATTACATGTAACATTATGGTGGGCCACAATTTAGGCAAACATATTTTTAAAAAAGTAAAACAAATACAAAATGAATAAGATTTTATTGTTATACCAAGAGTTTGTACTCGCACTTGCACATTATAACAATGACATTGCAAAATTTCATTTATTTAATTGTTATAGTATACACATAACAGGAAGCAAAAGTTTTAAAAGATATATATCAGTAATCTCTCTTAGCGGGCCACACAGTTTAACGTGACGGGACGCATGTTGGCCAGGCCTGATTTAACTGATATAGATATAGCAGTTTTGTGATCATAGTATTTAATTATCTTAAACAAAGCAAAGTTAATAAGATTATGCATTAATTTTTGAACCACAAGGCATTAAATCATGTCTGACAAATAGAAATTTCTGAACAAACCAGGCCAAACAAAACATTCAAAGTTTTTAAAATAATTTCTTTTTAAACAAAAATGGCATGATAACTCAAAATTTTTTTTATACATAGAGGATGAACTTTTTATGTTATGAAATAAAAGTGAAAAAATTATTAAAATAGGCAATATTATTACAGTATAAATTACTGCATTTTAGATATTTTAATAGCTTTTGTATTAATTATAATACAAAAGCTATTAAAATATTTTACTGATTGCAAAATAGCGTTTTTATTCATCTGTTCACTAATTGAAGAGGTTCATAGAAACTAAGCCACCTAGACTGCAATTAGTCAGTAGTGATATGTAGTCACTCTTCATTGCAATTTTTCTTGTTTAACGTGAAAAGAATTGTGAAAAATAATTTCTGTAATTTTACTTTCTAGGCTGTTATGTATACTTAATTAACAAGGGAAAGTATTGGAGTCTTGTCAAGTTTGACCCTCTGAGTGTTTTGCAAATCTCCACCTGACTACAAAAAAGTCAAAAAAACGGTTAAAAAAATCTGTGAGTGCGTGCGCACGTTTATTTTGCTTAATATCTTAGGATGGGGTAAAGATTAAGAAACGGAATTTTCCATGATGGCTAATATATGAGGGGCAATGATGCTATTAAATTTTGGTGATTAAAGGCCGAAAGGGTGAGGAAATAAAGGATTGTAATGTATCTTGTCTCGACAGTGGTAGGACTTAATGAGCATTTTATTTGTTTGCATTACATTTAAACTTTTTTATAAAACCTCATCCCTACCTTCAAGATTAAGTTTTTTGCCATTTTATAGTATTTAAAACTATAAAAGCTTTTTATAACAAAATCTCATAATAGATGGAGCCATACACACTTATTTTTGTTTAATATAAAAAATGAATTTTAAATAAATGCTTACAACAGCCAGGAACTTTACGCAACTCGTTGCTGGATTTTTTAAATATAATTTTAGAACCTGAAATTAATCAATTTCTACGGTGATATTTTTGCAAGGTGAATTATACTATAGAAGTTAGTCAAAAATGAACCGAACTTTTAGATTTTTACGTTAAATTCGATTATCAGAGAAGTATCATTTTCTTGTAAGTCGAGTTCGTGCTTGTGTGCAATCGTGTTTTCCATTTTTGCCAAAAGCAGCACAGGATAGGAGTATATTTGTATAGCAGTTTTGAAGAAAGTTGGTAGATAAGAAATGAAGCATTTAGAATAGCCAGCTGCAGGGACAGATTTAGGGAAACGCGCAGGGTGCAGCTGCACCCCGGAAAGAGCATAAAAGCCAGACTAGTTTATTATTCGAAAAATTTATATATGAGATAGGTGAATTAAAACATGTTACATTGCGTCGTTAACTTAAAACATGTTGCATTGCAGTATAATAAGACATTTCTTTTTAATGAATTTACATACAAAAAATATCTTACAAATACAACAAACAAATCAGTATCACATATATACATAAAAATTTTTACCGATCCCATTGTTTTAAATTTTGTGAATATATTTATAACATATATACAGTAAAACTTCTCTAATTTAAACTTCTGTAACTCGAATATTTCTTTGACTTGAAGAAAACGAAGCATTTGGTAGGTTTTAATGGAACAGTGTAGAGATTTAACGTCTCCAACTAAAATTTCTTAACGCGAATTTTCTCTAGCTCAAAGTTTTTCGTGGTCCCAACACTGATTTATATTATTTACAACTTCCTTGACTCAAATTTTAATATTTATTCTAAATAAAGTTACTCACTCTAATTATCGTATTTCCATGAAATTTTTAATCAGTTGTATCTACTCTCCAATACCAATTTTCAGACAACGTTACACTCCAAAGCGAGAGGTCCTTTCGCTTGGGATTGGTTTTTAGGATTTATTCCATTAGTTACATTGAAAATTTTTCTGATAGGTATTACACGGGCTGTTAAAAAATCTATCAAAGATTCTTTATATAATGCAATAGAGGTAAAAATACATATGTATTCAGAATCGGCATTTTTCACTCTATTGTTCTCTAAATTTGAATCGTCTTAACTCGAAGATTTTTTCTGCCCTTTGGAGCTTGGAGTTAGAGAAGTTTTACAGTAAATATAGAATATGAGTAAGGGTAAACAAAGCAGATTAATCCAGTGGTTTTTGACCGGAAGCCACGGCACTCTAGGGTGCTGCGAAATGGATTGATGAAAGAAGGCGACGCAACACTTGGGTGATCTGCCAAGAGGAGAATACCTCTCAGAAGGACTTTATTTGGGAAAATGTAGCTAAAGTCGGATTGGCATGTATTTACTCCGGACTGCAAAGCGTCACCGCAACATATGCTAGTTATTGCCATAAACGTGCTCCTTTTCTTGTAGCAAGTGCGCATTTGCCTTTAAAGAAATTACGGCTCTGTATTTTAAATCGGCATTTCTGTTATATATCACAATTATATATATAATTAATAGGAAACATAGTAATTGTGATATATAACAGAAATACCGATAAAAAATACAGAGCCATAATTATATATACTGTATATATAATATTAATGATAATTTAACAACACAACACAAATTAACAACACAACAAAATAAAAATATTTATTTTAAAAATAAAGAAATTCCAAAGATGCATTACTTAAATGGGACAGGTGTAATATTTTACAACCAAGCATAAATGAGACTACAAGATGGAGATTAAAACGAGGCAAGTATCGAGCATGAATCCAAGAATCGAACATGTATCGAAACTGGGGGTTGAACCTTGACTCTAATGCTCGTAGAACTGATAAAATTTGGAAAAACCGGGACATAATAATCAATAAATCGGGACGAATATTTGGTACAAAATTTGGACGACATACGATCGAAGCGCTACTAGTGGCAAAAAGTGGCATGTTACCGATTTTAGCTAGGCGAACAAAAGAAGTGGCACGACCATACTGTTATCTGTAGATCAAGGCTACTACCTTAGCCACTCGGCCATCAGGCCGTTGAGGAAAAACCAGCTTTCCCATAACGGCTTGCCGGGCTTAAAATGCATGTTCTCTGCCTAACGAAAAAATTTTATATAACAGATGACGGAATAGGGACACCACGATAGCTAAAATTTTAGTGTTTTAATTTTTATTTGAATTTTCAGTTAAATTATTTGTCATAATTCACATTTGTATTTAGAGCATAGTTCTAAATTATTATTATTTTTACTCTTTCCGCCCTGTGGGCACTAAGAGGGCCTCTTTTTGCAAGCCCATTATGGGTTCGGCCAGGCCCACAATGGGGCTGCCGGGTGGTGAGGAACGGGGCCCGACATATCCGAACGGACCACCTCCGAAAAATTCCTGGGGATTTTTCGACCCGTTCGTATTCGAACCCTGGTCCCCCAGAGCGGTAGGCTGCCACCTTGACCGCTCGGCCATCCGGCAAAGGTATGTACAGTACACATCCACCACACATTTTATTTCACCAAGTAAGTTTTTATTATTTTATTTATAATTTTAGCCCTTATATCTTGGCTAGCGATTCAGAATGCAATTGTGATATTAAAAATACATTTAGAGAAGTCTACGGTTTTTACTGGCTTATCGAACTAACGATACGAATGGACCCTTGACCATCACTGACGCGCAATTAATTAGCTGATTGCTCCTGGAACGACTTCCAGAAGAGAAGTCTGTGCTTCTTACAGAAACACAGCTTCCCTACTATCAAATGTCACGGCACGCCACTGGTATTTAAGCATCTGAGGAATTTACCCAAAAAGTCCGAATTTTCAAACGCAATTTAGGGTAATTTCCCGAAAGAGATTTAGCAATTCTGCCACCAGGTTGCATGAGAGTATCTGAATGCTGCGTGTTTAAAAGTAGTTTGTTGATAATCAAGTGAAACAGGTGAAGGTCGATGTCATGTCTTCTCTCTGCATAAATAATCTTGCAGAATTTTCGTGTGTTTATTAAAATTATGATTATTGTAAGTCATTTCCTGTTATGTTTATTACGCGTAAACTGTATAATAATTATAAATAAGTATATAAAAGATTTTAAATAATAATACTTACGTTAATTAATTTAAAACTATAGCAAGATAGTAAATTAATGATTTGATCAATGAAATTCGGAAATGTGAAATATATTGGTAAGAAATAGTGAAATAATTTGTATTCGTTTTTGTAAATATTTGACAAAGCTTTATATAAAACATTGTAATAAGAAACAAATATAATTTAGACTTATTTTGTTTAGAATGGTACATTTGTGAATTTAAAGCCATGAAACTTGAATGGCAACTAGAAAACTTGTTGAGAAATTTATTAAATATCAGCTTCATTTTTATTTCTTAAAATAAGTAAGAAAAAAATTTTTTGGATTAAAATATGTGAAATTTAATAACTTATTTACAGAATAAATATATATCAAAATTAAATTAATTGGCAAAATTTTACTTTTATTTCTGTCAGACACCATTGGTATCTTGCTTGGATTATAGACCATCCCTGTATAAACATAAAAACCCAAAAAAGTTATAACACTTCTGATTTGTCCAGACACATCCAAAAAGTGATCCATTTTTTTTTTTTAAAGATTTATTATTGATTAGCAGGAGAGTGCCAGTCAATTGATGCAATCTAACTCATGTATTGGGTTGATAATTGGTTCAGAGAGGATTTCCCAAATGGGTGAGTAATTTCAAATTAATCAGTCGTTCGCAAATGTTTGCTGGCTCACACCTCCCCTCGCACAGAGTGCGAGTATTAATCTCAGGGTGCTGGGCGGGTACCCGCAGGCGCCCCAGATCCTAAAGCAAAATTATATAACATCAGGTCATGTGGGCTGCAAGTACTATGTATGGTAACTAAACTTCCAATTACAGGTTGATTGATGTCCAAGGATGTAAATTTACCAGGTATCGGCTACACTACATTACCAAAGATGATCCGAACCCACTCCATCTCAATGTTAGCACTAGCGAATTTCACTTTAATTAACTACTGAGCCAGAAAACGGGCTACTAATACAATGGAGGATATGGGCTGCATATTTACCTATTTGGGAAATCCTCTCTGAACCAATCATCAACCAAATACACGCAAGTTAGATTGCATCAATTGATTGGCGCCCCTGATAACCGGAAAGTACCAATTTATCTTCCAAGACCATCTAATCTGTATATTGTATACATTTATAAACATTAATTTTGTAATGATATACCATGCAGAATTCTCATTATTGAGAAGTACTTTGGCAACATGAAGTTATACTTTGACTTTACTTGACATACAGGAATTGATTCCGCATGAACTGGTTCTCTATCTCAGTCTGGACATAATGGTGTCATGTTACAGAGACATGTAATGGGTGTTGTGCAAATTAAAATTAAAATTTAAAAAGTGTCAGTAGTTTCTGGTACACCCTGTATAACAAAATCAGATATGATGATATTTCAGAACATTTGGAAAACATTACTGTAAGAAAAAAAAAATGTTTTCCAAATGTTCTGAAATGTCATCATATCTGATTTTGTTAAAAGTGCCAGAAACTACTGACATTTTTTAAATATTAATTTTAATTTGCACAACACCCATTACATGTCTCTGTAACATGACACCATTATGTCCAGCCTGAGATAGAGAACCAGTCCCTGCAACTTCACATTGTGATGGTAGCGGTGTTTATCAAGAGAGTCTATCATGGTTACAAAATGTAACTTTCAATATGCATTTGGTTGACATGATATTCCACTCTAGTGCTACAGATGAATAAATGGCATCAAGAAGGATGTGTGGAGAATGATAAACATCATCCAGGACAACCTTGTCCAACCTGTATACTGGAACGTATTGATTATGTATGGGATGTAATTCACACTGTATATTTTAAGCTAGCTTAAATGACTAAGCCAACTTAAGGTATGAAATATGAATGAAACTGACTTAATGTTAAACCAGTTTAACTACCAAGAACCGGCTCAGCCTAAATCACTTTCTCAAAGAAGCTTAAGTCTCTTCAAGCTTTCCTAAAGGTCCGCCACAAGTTCAAAAATAATGGAGGAAGCAGATGTACAAATGTTCAAACAAACGATACTCTTCGCTGATAGCATGTATACACTGCTTCAGTACAAGAAGTTTAAATAATAATAATAACACGTAAAGATGGCGGACGTGGCCTGATTGACATAGTTAACCTTCACTACAAACAAATACAGTCACTGTGAGAGTTTTTCTACAGTAAACAAGAAACATCACAATTATATAAAGCAGTAACTCTAGCAGACTCAAATAGCACACCATTAAACTTACACTCACATCATACAGACATGACATAACACATAAAAAGCATAGACACCATCAAGCAATCGTGGGCTCGAAAGGCACTCCATGGCAGGCATCCTTATGACCTGGCCCAGGATTTTGTTGACAAAACTGTGTCAAACAGCTGGTTAGATCAGGGATGCCTCTTTGGGGAGATGGAAGGATTCATGATTGCCATACAGGATCAGGTCATAAATACTAAAAACTACAGAAAACACATACTCAAAGATACAACACTCACAAATGACACATGCAGAAAATGTCACATCATGCCAGAAACTATACAACACATCACTTCTGGTTGCAAGCTCTTGGCACAGACAGATTACTTACATAGACACAATCAAGTAGCAAATATAATACACCAAGAGCTTGCAAAGAAACACAAATTGGTAGACATCCACGAACCATACTACAAGTATATTCCACAGACAGTATTGGAAAACAACACGCACAAAATGTACTACGACAGAGCCATAATCACAGATAAAACAATTTACCACAACAGACCAGACATCACACTCATTGACAAACACAATAAAATCACATACATTATAGACATAGCCATTCCAAACACTCACAATGTACAAAACACATGCACTGAAAAAATTAGCAAGTACACAGAACTCGCCCAGGAAATAAGGCATCTGTGGAGGATGGATAGGGTGCTTATTGTACCTGTCGTTCTCTCCTGTACAGGTGTGATACCGCACACACTACACAAAAGCCTGGGAACATTACAATTGAGTAGAAATACATACATCACACTACAGAAGGCCACTATATTGAATACATGCCACATTGTTAGAAAATTCCTGAATACAGACACACACACTGACACACTTATTTAATTTTAGTTTTGTTTTGGTTGCCTTGACTTTGGTCCTGCATAGTACACAGCTACCAGTGTAAACTGAGTATAACTCACAAAACCCAACATAATAATAATAATAATAATATAAATTTCTGTTGAGAATCCATTCTTACCACAGTTCTGTCACTAAAGTGATATAAACATTGAGAGAATTGTACTGCCAATGACAATGACATCACTGATAATAAATGTTAATAATTCCTAACTAACGTCTTATGCATTTTAAATAAGTTATTTATATTTTAAATTTCTAAATATAAATTAATTTATGATGATTTATCAAAAATAAGCAAAAGTTTGATTTTATTTAAAATGTAATATTGAGTACACCCACTTGAGGGCTAAGCGAATAATTCACTTTAACTACTTGTTCACATTAGGTAATTAATCTTGTTTTCGGCAATGCGACTTAACTTAATTCTGCTTAAACCTTAATCTCACTTAAAATGTACAGTGTGAATAGGGTATAATCTTGCATAGTTCTCAATGGTCAGCTCAGTGGCAAGGATATCAGCATTCACCAAATCCTGTACAAAGGTCTTCACTGCCATCCTTATAAGATCCAAGTTATCCAGAAGCTTATTGAACAGGACAAGATGAAACATCTTCAGTTTTGCGATGAGATCTTGGAGCTTCTGCAAGTTGAAGAGGACCTTCTAAGCAGGTTACTGATGTCAGACAAAACACACTTCCATTGGTCTGGCCATGTAAATAAACAGAACTGTTATTTCTGTGGTCCAGACAATCCAAGTTTATTAATGGAATATCATTTGCATGGTATGAAAGTGACGGTATGGTGTGCAATTTCCTTTAATATTTTTTTGAAAATGAGGTCCATACTGTCACAGTAACTGCTAGGCATTACACAGCCACATTGCAAACATTTCTGAATTAGGAGGTCACTCCTCCTCCTCATTGTTGCATATGATTCTAGCAAGATAGCTTATATGGCATGTTGTTCTATGGGAGTTCTACAAATGTTTCCAGGTAAGGTTATTTCTCACTTTAATGACATCTGTTGGCCTGATCATTTACCAGTCCTGACAATATAGGATTATTATTTCTGGAGCTACTTGAAACATAGTTTGAGACACACCTAGACAGTACTGATCTGAAGGATCAAATTTGTCAGTGCATTTTGCATATTCAAAAAAAAAGTCATTTTGCAGAAAGTTATAATATCTTTTCTGCACAGACTATAAGAATCTGTTTATCAGAATGGTGGTCATTTTCAAAATGTTATTTTCAAGAAACAACAATGATACAAATTCCTTCCTCATTAAAAAAGAATACAAAGCAATAAATATTTACACTTTCTCCTGAAGTTTTTTTTATTTTTAAAACCCATAATGTTTCTGATGCACTCTGTATTTGGACTGCTAAATATCTCTATAGACAGCATTGATTAGGTTTCTTTAATTATGATCAGCCAGTATAACAAAAGTAAACTACAGTATAACATCTGAATAGTGGACATCATTGGTTGGGACTGAGAAGTTTGTCTGCTATTCAGAGGTAAATGTAGTAGATGTCTTATTTGAAGGATCTAGGAATTGTAAAAATGTTTGTTAAATAGAGGTGTCTGCTATTCAGGAGTGTCTGTTAATGGAGATTTTACTATATTTACTAAATATGTTTTATTAGTCAGAATTAGGTAAATTCTGATTAATAAAATTTAAACTTTAAATTAATTAATATTGCATGATAAAAATTGAAAACTATTGTCTTCATTGGTTTAAAAAAAATCTAAAATAAAATTCTGAGTAAACACTAGGAATCGTATTTTAGATTTTTTTATTTATATTGCACAGTAGAACCTTGCCAATTCAGACTAAGTGAAGTGAAACTTAGTTCAAATTAGTGAAATTTTTGCTTAAATGTGTATTGTATGGTCTGAAAAACTTTGAAAAAACAAACGTTTTCCAAACACTTTCCACATCCTTCTTCAGGTAAAACGGCTGGATTCCTTATTCTAGTTTTTAAAATTGTGTAACAGTGTTTTAGAATAAGGAATCCAGCTGTTTTACCCGAGGAAGGACACGGAAGGTGTAAAGGTGTTCGGAAAATGTTTGTTTTTTCAAAGTTGTTTATTTTTGTGTTTCTTCACACCAGTTAGAGGCTCAAGTAAGTAGGTTTTATTTATTTATTATAAATAAATTAAATATAATTGAGTGTAATTTTGAGTTTTTCTTAAAAATTTTTCAATAAAGTGGGAATCATCTATTTAAAAAACAAACAAGTTTTCTTACTTAAAATTATCCGTGTGTTTAAACTATCCAGTTGAAGAAAAATGCATTTTCAATATTCATCCAAAGTTTTTAGAACATACTATCCTCACTTCCTCAGCCATTTTCTTACAAATATAATCAAACACCAAACACTTGCTGAGCTTACTATTAATTTAATACTCAAACGCTTTCAGCCTATTTCTAATAAGCCATCCTCAGGAATTTATTTGTTTTTAGAACATTCCTCTTCTGTTTCTCTGGTGTATTAAAATTTTAACATAAACAATTAAAAAACTAATTTTTAAAACCACTAAATGTCCATAATCATTGACAAATTAATCTTCACTATCAGTATTTCTTTATTCACTTGAGAAGCACTTATCTGTTGTATTATCAGATATTCATATGAATATTTGATAATTGAGGTTGGTACATGAATAATTTTCTTAGTGTTTTTTTAACAGTTTAATATATTAATGTTTATAAGTGTAAAATAAATGTAATGAATTTTTTCAATAGTGATAAGTTAGATTGTTTTATATTTTTTTAATCTCAAAATGCTTATTTTAATATCAATATAAGCATTGCTCTTTTTTCTAAAAATAATTGCTACTGGTACACATTGTAACTGAACATATAGAACTGTTTTTACTGAGCAATTATCAGTACTATTTATCAGCTACATATACTTTTTGTACTGTCTATACTATGCTATTTCAGACTGTAAAATATCCCAGGATATAAATATAAAAATATTTTCTAAAATGAACAGCACTTGTCCATACATTGTGTAATATTATTAGTCAAGGACATTTATGGCTATTGTATTTTTTACAATATGCATTCTGCATAAGCAATTTTTTTAATGTTTTGATTCATTCCTATTGTTTTATTTTCAAATATTTTTGAGTATTTGAAGTAATTTATCAAATTTTATAATTTGATGTAAGTAAAAATACAAAAATTTTATTTTCAAAAATTTGCACGAAATAAGACACAATAAAAATTGTTTTATTATATGACATTGACTAACTTGACATTGAAGAAAGTATGAGTGATTTATTATTGTAATAACAAGTTTTAATGAAAACAAAATGGCAAAATTAAAAAAAAAAAACTGAACTTTAATAATAATATTTTCATCTTAAAGTATGTATAAAGATTTCCATATTGCAATCGCATTAATTAAAAATAAATAATCTCTTTGGTGAAAGGAAGGAGATTTACACTTGTTTTACAAAACTTTTTATTCTTATGTTTCTTTTAAATTACTCAGGAAGAATATTTTATACTTAGTTCCTCAAAATATGAACAAATTAAAGAAATTTGTGATCTTTACTGGTAGGTGTGTAGAAGGTATTATTTCATATATTGCTAATAATTGTTAAACTTTGTTACAATTCAATAGAAGATATCATATATACAAATATAGTAATGTCTGTATTAGTCCTTGGATCTAATAAACTACCTCACAAATTTTTACAATTTATACATTTCTACAAAGAACGTGATTTATGATTTCAGCCTCGACTACCAAACTTTTTATTTTGTTTGTAAAAAAATGTTTTTGTTTTAACTTGTTCTCTGCTTGAGAGAGCAACATTGGCTTCAATTATTGTGCCATTCTCTGTACCATACACTTACTATCAATGAGTGGAAAGCCCAAAAGGATTACTATATCTAGCATCAATAATCATATTTTGCTTTTATACATTAAACCAATATGAACAGTGAATGAGACACACATTTAGATATTATATGTATGTGTAATGTTTGTGAAAAAGATTCATATCTATATAGGAAGCAGTATGCCTAAAAAAAGTGGCTCTGCATTGTATGTAATATAATAAAATATTTAAATTCTTTAATCATTTTAATTATTAAAGCTTTAAGTTTGGTAAATTAAATGTCATTTTATAGTACTGTAATAAATATATCATCAATAGAAACATAATTTTTTAAATAGTTTTATTCATTAGTAAATTTATGATTATCATTAATATTGCCTAATTTACAAATTTTATTATAAGATTGTTTTTATTAAATTTTTTCCAGGTTTTAATTGTTGTTAAAAACTAAATTAAATATGAGTTTTTTTATACAAATTTTATTATAAGATTGTTATTATTAAATTTTTTCCAGGTTTTAATTGTTGTTAAAAACTAAATTAAATATGAGTTTTTTATACATATTTAATGTCATTGGTGTATTGGATAATATTACATATCATGTGCTTCAAGAGGAAGTTTTTGAATGGTACACAAGTAACCAGTTATATGTTTGGTTGATGTGGCTGCTGATTCCTGTAATTGTAAGTATTAAAAAAAAATTGTTATATTAATTTTTATTTATTTAAATATATTTAAGTTTGTAGATTTTAAGAATCTTTTAAAATTGGATATCAGTATGACAAAGTCATCATTATAGTGGAGATATGATGATCTGAAAATATGTATGTGTGTGATGCAATTTATTATAATAAATTTGATTAATTTCAGCACCAATAGATTTTAACCATAGATTTAACTTGTATATAATTTTGAATTCAAATTAATGATTAATAGAATTAACACTGTAATTTTGTGTGAATAATCATGATGGTGTATAACTTGCATTGATGCATACAAATCTTTATTTCCAAAAAAGATTGAACATTTTAAAAATCCAAGATCATGACAAAGCCTTGCAGAAATAAAGAAACTTTTAACTGGCTATTCTTGAAGAACTATTTTTTTGAGTTGTCACTATTCTTGTGCACTAATGATATTTATTTGAAAACATTTATTCTCTATAATAACTTCTGTTAAATTTTAGACATTTACCTTTTTCAATATATATCAAAACACACAAAAACTATTGTAATATTTGAATTATGGTCCAAAAATTTATATACAATAATTTATTAAATACATCTCTAAAACATTATAAATAGTTTATCAAAGGCAGCCCACAGATTATGAAAGATCTTGATGAAATCATATCTGTTGTTGAAGACATCTTAACTGCATATGATTATGAAAAACTTTATTAATCAATACAAATTTCATTGCATAACTTAACTTAGTGGAAAATATATTTCTATCTTCAGTCTGAAGTCCAAACAACAGAATATAAGATTCAACCAGTATTCTTGATACAGACTATTTGTGTGCCTTCCTAATTGTGAATATTTTGAAAAATTCTAATCTAGATATCTAATTTGGAGTAACATGAGATGAAGATTATATTAATGTGTTATACTAAGTAAAAAACTTAATTTTTGACAAGCAACATCCTTTTATTAATTAATGATAACTTGGATATTACTCTAAAATTGTCTTTTTATTTATTAAATTTTTGAGATGGTTACTTTGATCTATAAGTCATGCTTTTTAAATGGTTTAATTTATACTAAATTATCAGTTAAATAACTTTTTAATTATCATTTTAATAATATATTCATCATTCTACCTATTTTGCTCAGTGACTAAATAACTGCAGCAAGCTATATACCTAATTTTAAGAAAGTAGAATAGCACTACTAGAAAGTAATTTTCCTGAAATTTTTTTAAATTGAAAACAGCTTTATATATGTATTCAGTATTGTGAGAAGTGTTCAAAAGTATGATGTTACTGGTATTACATAGCTGTTACTATATTGTATTTTTTCCAATATTAATATATCAAAAGGAATACAAAATACGGTAATTTCCCGCAATACAATATGTAAACATTTCATAATCAGAAAAAACTNCAAAAACTATTGTAATATTTGAATTATGGTCCAAAAATTTATATACAATAATTTATTAAATACATCTCTAAAACATTATAAATAGTTTATCAAAGGCATCCCACAGATTATGAAAGATCTTGATGAAATCATATCTGTTGTTGAAGACATCTTAACTGCATATGATTATGAAAAACTTTATTAATCAATACAAATTTCATTGCATAACTTAACTTAGTGGAAAATATATTTCTATCTTCAGTCTGAAGTCCAAACAACAGAATATAAGATTCAACCAGTATTCTTGATACAGACTATTTGTGTGCCTTCCTAATTGTGAATATTTTGAAAAATTCTAATCTAGATATCTAATTTGGAGTAACATGAGATGAAGATTATATTAATGTGTTATACTAAGTAAAAAACTTAACTTTTGACAAGCAACATCCTTTTATTAATTAATGATAACTTGGATATTACTCTAAAATTGTCTTTTTATTTATTAAATTTTTGAGATGGTTACTTTGATATATAAGTCATGCTTTTTAAATGGTTTAATTTATACTAAATTATCAGTTAAATAACTTTTTAATTATCATTTTAATAATATATTCATCATTCTACCTATTTTGCTCAGTGACTAAATAACTGCAGCAAGCTATATACCTAATTTTAAGAAAGTAGAATAGCACTACTAGAAAGTAATTTTCCTGAAATTTTTTGAAATTGAAAACAGCTTTATATATGTATTCAGTATTGTGAGAAGTGTTCAAAAGTATGATGTTACTGGTATTACATAGCTGTTACTATATTGTATTTTTTTCAATATTAATATATCAAAAGGAATACAAAATACGGTAATTTCCCGCAATACAATATGTAAACATTTCATAATCAGAAAAAACTTGTAAGATGATACATCCACCAGGCTCAATAAAAACCTGAGTTACTATATAATTAATATATCTTTCAATATACTAAAATCTTCTTTATAATACTTAATATATTTAATACAAAAGTATATTTAATTTTTATTTTATTTAGGTTGTATTCTGTCTGCCATTTTTTACCTATTTTCTGCTTTATATTACTGCTTTACTTTTGGAAGTATATCGTTATTGGAATTTAGCAAGAGGAATTAAATACAATCCTAAATTTTGGGATAAAGCCAATTTTTATTTTTCAAATATATGGCTTGCGTATGGACGATTCTGGCATGGTAAATATAAAATAAATTTTTGAGTTACCTAAATATATCTTTTGTTAATAGAATATATTAATAGAATAATAATATTAAAAATTATATCAAAGTAGCTATATGTATATAGATGTTTGCTTTTAAATATTTTTATCAATGTATACATAAAAATGACATGTACATGTATAGCAAAAATTTAGGTTAATGCAAAGAAACAAAACTCTTGTAACTTCATTTAATTATGGTTGTATATGACTTCATAGTGAATAACATATATCATGATTGAAAAACCCCAATTTGCTTATTAATTCCAGAATTTGCTTAAATATATCATTATTTAAAGCTGAAAACTTTTTTCTATTAACACTCATAAAATATTTGTATGATAGAGCATTAGGCATATCTAGCATTCTAGTATATCCTAATTTATAGAGGAACCACAACTAGGTTGCTAACTACTCATACATCTGAGAATCAAAAGACAACATATATGACAAAAAACAATAGAATTAAGTATTATATTTGGTTTTTTGAAGCCTGTTTGATCTAGTGTGAATTTGCTACATGCATGTAAGGACTCCAGACTAAAATACATTTGGAAAACAGTTCAAATTTGCAGTCTATGTGATAATGACTAAAGAAATTTAATTAGTTTAGAATTCACAAAAGCTTTGTTTATAATTTAAATTTTTGAAGTAATTAAAAGCTGTATTTTAAAATAACTAAAAAAAAGAAAAAAATATAAAATTTTCAAAATGTGTGTTCTGAAAATTTAATGTGTAATGTGTAAATTGTATTTCTGTTCTAATGTTCTTATTCCATTTTTGTTCTAGCTGTCTTGAGAGAATAGTGTAAATATTACTGAAAATACTTGTAATTATATCTTTATAATAAAACTTTTTGTTGTTTATTTTGAGTTTTGACACCATAAGACAAATTAAATGCTTTTATTAATATTTTAGTGTATGTCAATGCTATTTTACTTTTTTTAAAAAATTAGAAAATAATATGTAAATAAATTTTCACTACTAATCAACTCAAAAAAAAAAAAAAATTTAGACTTTACTGTATATTTTGTTAGACCACCATTTTTAAAAACAAAATTATTTATTTCTTTGGCTGTTATTACAAATTACCAATTGAAAGTTTATATTTTCATTCTTCATATAATAGTGTATGAAATTTTAAAATTAATATATGCTAAAATATTTTGCATGGTGTTTATACTTTGTAATTTGTGAAGAAATTGAGTTAATATTTTTAATGAACATATTGGTAAAGAATACTGAAAGATGATAAATTAATCCATAAATGCTTCATGAACAGAATTAGCTTCATATCATTTTAAATGTTCATTGAAACCTGGATATTAATTTTGATTAATAAAACTTTTTCCTCAAATAACTGATGATTGCATCATTTTAAATACTTAATTTGATTTAAAATTTAATGTAATATAAAATTAATATTTATTTATAATGTTATGACATTGTAATTTTATAACGTCATCAATATGATTGAATAATTTAGATTTTGATATTGTAATTATTTTTAGCAAAGAATAATGTAAAAATATATATATATTTTTTTTTTTACATTATTCTTATATATATTTAATACATGAAAATTAATTTTATTTGTCTAGTATTTTGCCTTAGCTGGTTAAATTTTATTTAAAAAAAAAAATAAATACTATCATTTAATAAGCAAAATCAATATTTGAAAAATAATTTTACACAAATTAGATTAAAATATTGATTTAAAATAAAATTTTTTAAAATTAATCTTATTTAAATACTTGCAATATCAGTATTCAGTATTTTACAAATTTTGATCAAATGTATTATAAAACAATTTTATCAAAATAATACAGTGGAACCTTGCATATGAGCACCTCTCATAATGAGTAATTTGCATAATGAGCAAAATAAATTGTAAAAAAATGACTCGTTTAATGAGTGACATTTCACGTAATGAGTGAAGAGAAGAGGGGAAGTCCCGGATTGTTTGCATGCTATATCATTCTGTGTTTAGTATTCCTTCCGCTAGTATCTTAGTGTTGCTTGTGATCATACGCTTTTTCCAAACTTGTGTTCAGACATATTACATATAAACATCAACAACCATAGCCCGTTATATAATAAACACACCAAACAATATGCCAAATTCTTGGACTATGTAAAGGCTATAATTAAATATTAGAAATTAAATAATTTGACTAGAGGTAGGCAGTTTCTGAGGTGTCTAATTTCTGCTTATTTAATATATGAGATGGCAGTATAATTGCCATTTCATATTAAATTTAATGACCGATTCCAAATTAAATTTTTTTTTCTGCAAATCAAATTTGCATTCCAGGTTGGTTCATTCCATGCTAGAAAAAAAGATGATGATTCACACTCCTTAACAATGTATATTGTATAATTTTCTTTGAATAAACATTATACATAAAATATTTGAGTATTTTTTTTCAACGTGAAACACATTATTGTATTTTATATTAATTTATATGGGAAAAATTGTTTTGCATTATAAGTAAGATTCTGGAATGAGTTATTCTCGTTAAGTGAGGTTCTACTGTATCATTTTCCTTTTATGAATTCAATTGTTACTTAGGAAATGAGAAATCATATTCTAAGTAACAATTGAATTCATAAAAGGAAATTGATATTATTTTGATAATTTAAAACAACAAATTGTTTCAGTTTCTACTTTATAAACTTACAAGTCTTTCTAATAAAACTAAATGCTACTTAAGACTTACATTTATTATGTATTTTATTGATTAATGTCTAATTTCTGCTTATTTAATTTTACTGCTGCCTTAGATACTATATAATATCAAATCAATATTCAATATTGATTTGATAGGTAAGTGAAAGATGTAAGTGAAAGTGAAAGATAATGTAAGTGAAAGATGTAACATAGTCAGATTTTGTCAGATTTTATACTTGTTATTTCATGGTTGATTAAATAATTTAGCTTTAAATACAGCAGAATCTGACAGTATTCAAGTATTTAGCAAATATATAATTTTGATTAATAAAGTTTATTGATTTGAAATTCTATATACAATGGGTGATCGGTTAACGAACTTAATCCGTTCCAAGACTTTGTTCATTATCCGAATTGTTCATTAACCGATTATCGATTTCCCATAGGTTTTTATGGGAATTTGATTAATTCATTCGGGAGACTCCAAAAAATAAAAAATATATACTTTTTTACTAAGTTTATTTATATGTAATAGTAAAAATACATATATATGCAGTCTTGCATTTTTATTAGTCATGTTTTTTTCATTTGTGGGGGTTAAAGAAGCTGTCCAATGTTGATTGCTTTTCTCTTTTCTTCAGGATTTTTTGGAAGTAATTAATAATAATGTAATTGTAGAAATCTCCAACCCCATTAACCTTATTCTGGTTTGGATGTCACTTGGATGATCGTTGTTTTGACATTCCTGGAGTTCTTCTGTTGTCAGATCAGTTTCAGATTCCATTATGAGCTCTAAAATGCTTTTTATTTCTCAGATGTGATTTTTATTACTCCATTAGCAGCTTGAGACTTCTTGATATATCTTTCATAGCTAAGATTGTGCCTACTGTAGACCTGTTCAAGCCATACTGCCTAGCAACATCAGACATCTTGTGCTCACTTTCTACCTTGGCTATTATCTCTTACTTGGTTTCTACAGTGAGCACAGTTCTTGACACTACTCTTTTTAGGCTCCATAATATTATCAGTTTCTTTTTTAAATAAAAAGTTCAGAAAAGCACTTACAAAAATTCAGAGAACAGAAATCAACTAGCCCACAAAAAATTATATAAATACAAGGCCTGGATGAAATTCAAAATTTGGTATTAAAACGTTAACAAATATTCTTTCACCTTTCGTAAATAAACCCTGATGCAAAATTTAACAAGTACCTATCCGACAGTCTCGTGAAGACTATAAAAATTATTTATCAGAAAGGTAAACAAAAAAGCTGGAATTACAAGAGTGAGTTTCAAAATTCGGAGGAGTTGAGAGTCGATGTTACATCTCCCGTGCTTTGAATGGTTAAGAATTGTTACCTGAAGAAAAGGGAAAATCAATCAGTATTCGTTATTTTCCGTCACTTCTTTTTATGTTTATTCAGTAAAGTGTTCATTGTCCGATCATAAAAATCTTTCGCAAAAGTGTTCATTATCAGATTTGTTCACTATCCGAACTATTCATTAACCGATCATCCACTGTATATATTTAAATTATAAAATTTTATTTCAGTAGTAAAAAATTTATAAAAATAAATTCAAAACGTCTGTCTTTCAGATATTTCTGAAATTAAATATTTCTTAAATTAGCTAAGTTTTGTAGCTTTAACATAGTTTTTAGGTTCAGTAAATTTAAAAATTATTTCAGTTCAGAATAGTATTCAAATTTTAATTAAAAAGATATATTTACAGGTTATGAAGTTGTAGGTATTGATAATATTCCTTCACAAGGACCTGCATTGATAATATTTTATCATGGAACCATACCTGTTGATTGGTATTTTCTTTTTTCTGCACATCTATGTATAAAAAAAAGATTAATTCAAGCAGTTGGAGATAAATTTCTTTTTAAAATTCCAGGTATTTGTTTTTTAGTACTTTAATAACAATTATTTAATTTATGAGCATTGCAATAGTACTAATAATAAGTGATTATAAAACAAGATACATTATAATTTATAATAGCTGTGAAGTTATCATACTTGTTATATATTAATATGTTTAATTGTTTTGCTTAATTAAATGATATCTTTTTGGAATTTAATTTAATTGTTTGTCAATAAATATACAGTAGAACCTCGATTATCTGGAGTAATTGGGGATGAAGGTAGTCCAGATAAGGAAAAATCCGGATAATCAAAACAAATACTTTAATTTGTCTTTTAATGATAATACAACACGTTTTTTTTCGATGACATATTGGTAATATTAAAAATAAATAGCGTATTTAAATCGTGATCAAATTTTCAAGAAACAAATGTTTTATTGAATTTGGACTACTACTGACCAGCACTAACAGACTACCTATTGTTTAAAAGGCCCTCTGGAACCGCAAGAAGACGGATTTTATAAAATAAAAAGCAGTTGAAACTGCATTTTTATGAATAAAAATTTGACAAACTATTTATCGTTTTATGACGAGTAAAATGTTTTTGTCGCGTTCTCGGCTTTTAAGTAATGCATAAACCTTCGAGGCGCGAGGCATAGGTGGTGGCCCACGTTGCCCATGCCTTTACGCCGCCCTTGGTTATAGAAATGATGTAATTTGAGTATAAATTATTTATAAATACGTATGTCAAGTTATGTTTTTATAACGACGCAAAATATATTTAAGAGTTTACGACCACTGTGCTAGGTGAGACGTTGTTGAAACAAAAAATGTTATACATTCCATCACGTACATAAACAGTGTCGTAATTCGCTAAGTGCAAATCAGCAAATTCGTAAAATTTTTGTTTATTTTGAACAATCCGGATAATCGAGGTTCTACTGTATTTATTTTCAATATAAATCTAGAAATCTATAAAAATTAAAAGAAGTAATTTTAAAGAATGTTTTTAAAGTTTCTAAAATATTGAATTATCTTTACTTAGTTTTTAATAGGGTTTACCATTTACATAGAATAAACAGGGTGTTTAAAAAAGCATTTAACATTTATGTGGTAGCTAATACACACAAAACTGAGTAAATATAGATTAAAAACTCAATCATTTGAGATATTTTGTATATTAGAAGACAATAAGATGATCTTGGCAAAACTTTACCTTAATATTACAGATGTTTCAAATGTACATTTGACATACTACAGTACAGAATTGCAAACTCTCAAAAATTCTAGATCCTTATTGGATTATTTGTCATGTCAAAAATTGACTGTTCCTATGTTTACTAGGGTTTTCTTTACTTAGTATGATGTGTACTTTGTCACATAAATGCTAAATGCTTTTAATTTTTCTCCCCCCAACATCTTGTATAGTAGTTAAAAAGTACATTGTGTACAAAATGTGCCATCACACTGTAAGAAAGCATTACTGAAAGTTCTGTTGTGACAAAATTTAATATCAGTTGTAATATTTTTCCAGAGATTTTCATAATATAAAGAAGAAATTTGTTGAATTTTTTAGTATTTAAATTAAATTTCCAAAAATAAATAAAATAATAAATAAAAATTTAACATATTTAATTTTTTTATCTAGACACTAAATAATAATTTTTAATATTCCTGAATTTTCTGTAGCATTGATAATGTAATGTAGTGCATAATATTACAAATACAAAGAAATTTTGTCATTGACTTTCCAACAACAGCATTGTGATAAGTCATATACAGTTTTCATATAAATTAATAGAAACTTTTTATTTTTTATTAATAATAATTTACATTAATTAATTAAATACTATGTTAGATGATATATAGCATTGTTCATAACAATAATTTTCTTTTAGTTCTGATACTTTTAAGTAATAATTTGCAAAAATAAAAAAAAAGTTTTTAAATTAAACAAAATGATTTTTTAGACAACTTTTTAAGGTAAATGTTTAAAATTTTGTTTTAGTTCAAAAACTACTATTTTTCTAGCTGTATGGTATAAAATGCATTTATTCAGCATATAGTTAAAATATATTAAATATTAAGTAGAATTTTATGTTATATTAAATTCTCCCATGCTTATAGTTATTTGTATAATTAAAATTTATATTTTAGGATGGAAAGCTTTATTAGAAGCTGCTAAAGTATGTCCTGGTTCCATAGAGAGCTGTTCAGAGGTATTAAAAAATGGAAATTTACTTGCTATAGCTCCAGGTGGAGTGAGAGAGGCACAATTTGGTGACGAAACTTACTCTTTACTTTGGGAGAAAAGAAAAGGTTTTGCACAAGTTGCTATAGATGGAAAAGCGGTGTGTTTTATTTTACTTTTAGTATTTAGATCAAGCTTCCCAACCCTTAGGGGTTGAGGAGAAAATTATTAATAAGACATATATTGTACATACATGTATATATAAGATAGTAAATACATTAATTTTCAAAACTTTCTAAATATAAAATATATATCTTTCATATTAAAGTATATCCCTGTTGCATATTTTTACATAAAATTATACAAAACCATCTTTTTTAAAATTAGAATTAATCATATTTTCTTGATAACAAGTATTTAATCATGTTCTGGATAGTGACTAGGGAGTATTTTAACATATGCAAAATATGCATTTTTCTGCATTTTTGTTGCATTAGTTGTTATATAATATCATTTTACTATTTACACAATTTTTACTCAAAACCAATATTTCAGGATCATCAATATAACAAGGTATGATTTTAAATCAGAATGCCATCATGTCATTAACAGTGCTAGAAAAATTTAAAAAATCAATATTATGAGTCTTATGCAGTTATGACAATCAAAATATATTTGTTTTAAAATGATGTTTAATTGCTACCAGAATGTAAAGGAAGCAATAAAAATAGACCAAAAATTCTTAGCTTTTCTGATGAAAAAGAGCTAAGAGCCTAATGGATGAATTCCATGAAAAGAATAAACTTCATTTTCACAAGAAATAATGTTCTGACCGTTTCAATAATGTAATAGATTATAAATTTAGTTATAACTAATTTTTACATTGATTTAAGGCACGGGTTCCCAACCTATGGGTCGCGACGGGCTTTCTGTGGGGTCGCCAACTTATACAGTTAACTAAAAAAAATGTTCACTATAATGCAATTTTTATTTTTAATGGTGTCTTGAAGTTTGAATAATTTGATAAGCAGTCGATCCCCCTATAACACGGGTTCCTATAGNACGCAAAATATATTTAAGAGTTTACGACCACTGTGCTAGGTGAGACGTTGTTGAAACAAAAAATGTTATACATTCCATCACGTACATAAACAGTGTCGTAATTCGCTAAGTGCAAATCAGCAAATTCGTAAAATTTTTGTTTATTTTGAACAATCCGGATAATCGAGGTTCTACTGTATTTATTTTCAATATAAATCTAGAAATCTATAAAAATTAAAAGAAGTAATTTTAAAGAATGTTTTTAAAGTTTCTAAAATATTGAATTATCTTTACTTAGTTTTTAATAGGGTTTACCATTTACATAGAATAAACAGGGTGTTTAAAAAAGCATTTAACATTTATGTGGTAGCTAATACACACAAAACTGAGTAAATATAGATTAAAAACTCAATCATTTGAGATATTTTGTATATTAGAAGACAATAAGATGATCTTGGCAAAACTTTACCTTAATATTACAGATGTTTCAAATGTACATTTGACATACTACAGTACAGAATTGCAAACTCTCAAAAATTCTAGATCCTTATTGGATTATTTGTCATGTCAAAAATTGACTGTTCCTATGTTTACTAGGGTTTTCTTTACTTAGTATGATGTGTACTTTGTCACATAAATGCTAAATGCTTTTAATTTTTCTCCCCCCAACATCTTGTATAGTAGTTAAAAAGTACATTGTGTACAAAATGTGCCATCACACTGTAAGAAAGCATTACTGAAAGTTCTGTTGTGACAAAATTTAATATCAGTTGTAATATTTTTCCAGAGATTTTCATAATATAAAGAAGAAATTTGTTGAATTTTTTAGTATTTAAATTAAATTTCCAAAAATAAATAAAATAATAAATAAAAATTTAACATATTTAATTTTTTTATCTAGACACTAAATAATAATTTTTAATATTCCTGAATTTTCTGTAGCATTGATAATGTAATGTAGTGCATAATATTACAAATACAAAGAAATTTTGTCATTGACTTTCCAACAACAGCATTGTGATAAGTCATATACAGTTTTCATATAAATTAATAGAAACTTTTTATTTTTTATTAATAATAATTTACATTAATTAATTAAATACTATGTTAGATGATATATAGCATTGTTCATAACAATAATTTTCTTTTAGTTCTGATACTTTTAAGTAATAATTTGCAAAAATAAAAAAAAAGTTTTTAAATTAAACAAAATGATTTTTTAGACAACTTTTTAAGGTAAATGTTTAAAATTTTGTTTTAGTTCAAAAACTACTATTTTTCTAGCTGTATGGTATAAAATGCATTTATTCAGCATATAGTTAAAATATATTAAATATTAAGTAGAATTTTATGTTATATTAAATTCTCCCATGCTTATAGTTATTTGTATAATTAAAATTTATATTTTAGGATGGAAAGCTTTATTAGAAGCTGCTAAAGTATGTCCTGGTTCCATAGAGAGCTGTTCAGAGGTATTAAAAAATGGAAATTTACTTGCTATAGCTCCAGGTGGAGTGAGAGAGGCACAATTTGGTGACGAAACTTACTCTTTACTTTGGGAGAAAAGAAAAGGTTTTGCACAAGTTGCTATAGATGGAAAAGCGGTGTGTTTTATTTTACTTTTAGTATTTAGATCAAGCTTCCCAACCCTTAGGGGTTGAGGAGAAAATTATTAATAAGACATATATTGTACATACATGTATATATAAGATAGTAAATACATTAATTTTCAAAACTTTCTAAATATAAAATATATATCTTTCATATTAAAGTATATCCCTGTTGCATATTTTTACATAAAATTATACAAAACCATCTTTTTTAAAATTAGAATTAATCATATTTTCTTGATAACAAGTATTTAATCATGTTCTGGATAGTGACTAGGGAGTATTTTAACATATGCAAAATATGCATTTTTCTGCATTTTTGTTGCATTAGTTGTTATATAATATCATTTTACTATTTACACAATTTTTACTCAAAACCAATATTTCAGGATCATCAATATAACAAGGTATGATTTTAAATCAGAATGCCATCATGTCATTAACAGTGCTAGAAAAATTTAAAAAATCAATATTATGAGTCTTATGCAGTTATGACAATCAAAATATATTTGTTTTAAAATGATGTTTAATTGCTACCAGAATGTAAAGGAAGCAATAAAAATAGACCAAAAATTCTTAGCTTTTCTGATGAAAAAGAGCTAAGAGCCTAATGGATGAATTCCATGAAAAGAATAAACTTCATTTTCACAAGAAATAATGTTCTGACCGTTTCAATAATGTAATAGATTATAAATTTAGTTATAACTAATTTTTACATTGATTTAAGGCACGGGTTCCCAACCTATGGGTCGCGACGGGCTTTCTGTGGGGTCGCCAACTTATACAGTTAACTAAAAAAAATGTTCACTATAATGCAATTTTTATTTTTAATGGTGTCTTGAAGTTTGAATAATTTGATAAGCAGTCGATCCCCCTATAACACGGGTTCCTATAGTTCGGATTCCTATATAACGGCCAAAAACTTGCGACGGTGTCCGTACAAACATGGTAAAAAAAATTCCTATAATTCGGTAAAACGTCATCGGGCAGCCAAACTACTTTCCGCCGTCCAGCGCCACGCTACGGAGAGTTTAGGCGGGTAAATTGAGTTTACTATCGTCTGTACAGTATTATATAAAAATTATATATAAATTAGGTACTGTATATATAATTATATATTAACTTAATTCATTGTAACTTTATTATAATTATATATATACTTTCCGCCGTCCAGCGCCACGCTACAGAGAGTTTAGGCGAGTAAGTTGAGGTTACTATCGTCTGTACAGTATGTAAATTAGGTACCGTAAGTCTAATACAGCACTAATTTTATACATTTCTTGTGAAAGAAACATTTCTTATTTAATGGCCATAAAAATTATTTATATTAATGATGTCTCCAAAGTTCAACGAAGTTTTCGCAGAAAAATAATTTATCAGAAAACGCGGCCGCCATTTAGTGCGCTGCTCCGCGACGAAAACAAGCTTAAGCAATGGCGACGTCGAACGGTGCACACTCGGTAAGTAATCCTACATTTTTTTTGTTTATAGCATAGTTTATACCAGGAGTATTCGCAAAAAATATACGTATTTTGAAAATGTTGAGCCGACTTAGTCTAGGAATCGACTAATTTTATGGAAGAAAACCTTTCAAACACCCGTAGTCAGTAAACTTCACACGTGTCGGGCTGTGATTGGCAAGGTCTCCTAAAACATCAATTTCATAAAAAACGGAACGTAACTACCGTGTTATGGGTGGGTCAACTGTATTTTTTAAAAATTAAAATAAGTGTAATCTAGGTACGCTATTCCGTCACAGTTGGTTGAATCATGTGTTGAGAGTTTGAGAGGAATAAATTAAATGTTGAGAATAACATGAGGTTGGCGTTAACAAAAACTCACCCGCGAATTTTAAGGCTGGTTAATAACATACAATTTCAACAATCGCATTAAATTATTAGACATAATTTAAAATAAAATTATACTAAAAAACTAATTTCATTGTTTTTTTAATTACCTAATTAAAAATGTATTTTTCAATAGTATCGGGGTCGCGGGTCACTTGGCTTTTATAAAAAGGGGTCGCCACCTGAAAAAGGTTGGGAACCGTTGATTTAAGGCAATATAGTTACTTTTTGATTGATTTATTAGTGTGGAAACACAAATACAAATTTCCAATGTTTGGAAATTATTTCCTGAATATAAAATAAACATCTATTTTTGTAAATTTTGAAAAATGCTCAAAGTATTTCATGAAAGACATTTGTCATAAAAGAACACAACATTGATTTTTAAAAATTTCTTTTTGACTTATTGTGATATTTCAATTTAAATTATTATTGTACTGTACATATTTGCTAGTGTATAAGCAGACCTAAGATATCAGTTGATGTCAAGATTTAATTCAAAATTGTTATTTAGACTTATATAGCAGATAAAAGTTATCCTCATACATTGGCTAGAATCATCTCAAGAATAGTTTGAAACTCCTAAGCAGCATAATTCAGTAAACTGTATGAGACTAACTATATTATACTGAACAAACATTGCCTTTTTGACAAGACTATGT